GCCGGGACGAAGGCCCAGGGAAAGCTGCTGAAGACCCAACCGAGAACGGGGGGCTGTCCGCGAGAGGAGGGTGGTGCCCCATGGAAGGAGCTGAGTTTGTGGGTACCATTGGTCGGGGGAGGGGGTGCTCATGAGAGCCAGGTGCCGACCCTGTCAATCAAGTGCCTTTGAGGAGCCGGGCCTGTACCGCGGTTCCCCATCCGTACGATGGCGGCTGAGAACCCTCCGCTTGCTAGTTGTTAAGCCTAGATTGCTGCGCGGGATGTGTGCGTGCCGCACCTCGTGCCCAACCCACAGGAGGGGAAATGTGCCAACATGACAACAGGCCCCCTGAGACCTGCAAGGGCACTTGAATTACAACTCACCCAGTGCTGCGTGTGGGTTGGGGATTGAGGGCAGCCGGCTCAGGAAAAGCAGGCCCGCCAGTGCGGTGAGGGGCCGACCCGTGGGAAGGGAATCCCCAAAGGAGTCTGTTGCGCTGCGCACCGCGTGTTGGCGATCCAGGCAAGGGCTGGTTGTCACAATCGGTACCTCAGGGCTGTGCGCACAGAGACCTTTCGGAGTCAGGCCGCCGGCGTCTGGGGGCCGGGTTTGAAGTATGAATGGCGAGGGGGTTGTCCGTTTTGTGGGGCCGGGAGGAGAGATGGTCTCTCGCCTCAACCACGGTGGCCCAGACAGGCAGGCAAAGCCGTGGCTAAGAGAGCGGAAAGAAGAACTGGGAGGGAGAAAAGAAAAGGTGAGAAGAAAAGGGTTGGAAGGAGCGTGAAGGAAAACGCCCTCTTTAATCATGGGGATTAGCCGCCCAAGGCGGTGGAACCTGGCTAGTTTGTTCGCACGGCCAGCATACCCCTTGCTGGTTTGTAACTATTGCTGCAGGACACCTAGCGGCCCCCCAGGGCCAGGGCCCTGTTGCGCCAGGCGCTGTACAAACTCATAGAAAAGACACTCCGGGCCCCAGTGCTTCCTGCCTACACGAGCAAAGAAATGCACCAAGCTAGGGACAGTGGCCTCACCCCGCACGCTCCCTTCCCTCCCCCGCTGGTGGTTAATTGGGCTGAGAACGGTTCCAGGCCGCCGCGGAATGGGAATAGCAACACCAGAACACGCTGGCACGACCCCCCGCAGCCCAGCCGAGCGGCGTGCTGACGGGCTTGCCGGAGACTGCAGCCCCCCTCCTTCTGGGTCTGCTTCCAGGGGTCCTCCTGCTAAGCTCAGCGGGCTTTGGATCCGGCACTAGGAGTCAGGCAGGGCTGGCACTGTGGGGATCCTGGCCCTGGCGGGTTACGGCCCCAGGTCAAACGGTGGCTCTGCGGAAGCGGTGCCAATTGCTGAGGGTTGCTAATTGATGAGCCCCAGTCTCCGTTCCTCACACACTGCCAAGCTCCAGGGGAGAGGCCTGGCGTTCGCTGGCCGCCCGTCTGCCTCGGGCTGCGTGTCTGGGGCACCTGAGGCCTGGTGTGTCGCCTCAGCCCACAGTCCAGCCTGGCATGCTGTGCTTGGCCCCGCGCTGGCCTCTCGCCGGGCTGCCCGCACTGCTGACAGCTGCCCCACTGCGGCACACCCAGGGCCCGGAGGCCTTTCCCCGTCATCGCTGCTCCCGGCTGCGGCAGTCGGC